CTCAATTTTAAAACAATCAGTGTTCTCATGTTCTGTTCGAACAACTGCTTCTTGGTCCACGTACAGATTCCTCATGAGCACAATTAAGTGTTCCAGAATACTCATACTTCACAATGTTGTCCACAGCTTGCATGATCCATATAATCGAAAGCCTTTGCATAGTCAATAAAGCACAGGTAAACATTTTTCTGATATTCTCTGCTTTCAGCCAAGATCCATCGGACATCAGCAATGATATTCCTCATTCCACGGCCTCTTCTGAATCCGGCTTAACCTCTGGTAGTTCTCTGTCAATGTATGATTGTAGCTCTTTCTGTATTACCTTTAGCAAAACTTCACTTGCATGGGATATCAAAGATTGTCTGATGATTTCTGCATTCCATTGGGTCACCTCTCTTTGGAATGGGCACAAATATGGATCTCTTCTAATCAGTTGGCCAGATAATTGTCTTCCAAATTTCTTGGCAGAGATGAGTGAGTGCCTCCTGTGCCTCATCACTTTCTTCAAAGATTTCAATTTGTATCCCATCAGTTCCTGGTGTCTTGTTCCATTGAAGTGGCCTAATTAGCATTCTTTTAAATTCTTTACAAATAGTTCTGATACCATTTATTTTCTGAATCTGTATTTTGGTCACTTGTTTGAGGCATTCTTTCTTGTTTCTTTGTGTAAGTTGAAATTGTCTGTTTTCTGAGAGACATTGTTGTGTCATATTTGTATTTAGTTGATGATAGTATATTGGTGTATTCTCAGGCACTTACACCTGTCTCCTGTTAGATGTGGTAGAAACGGAAAGAGTGAACACAATTTTGTGTTCACTGTGTATTGTAATTTAGGATAGATTCACATACCTCCAGAAGCAGGGGCACTAAGCCAGGAAGAGCAGAGGCTGCATACGTGGGGATACCACTGGCTGCTAGGTTGTTGAGGGCAGAGACTGGCCACACCCCTAGGTTACCAGGAAGGCACTGCAACAAGGGATAATTGTGCCTCCTTGCTGTCAACCTACAGCTATATCCTGTGCCTGCAGACTACTGTATCAATGTTGTAAAGTGCCATTGAAGCTACATACAGAAGTTCAAGATGGCCACACCAGTCCACAGTCTTACCTGTTTTTCTTCTCTCTTCCTGCTCCTGTTCAGTTTCCTCTTTAGTCAGCACTCAGTCTACCCATCTGCCCTATCCTCTGATGTTCAGGGTTCCAGGATCAACATATCTGTTACACTTGGTTTTTTATGTTTTTGTTGCAGAGGGTTGGCTCATTGCATCTCCTTAATCTACCATCCTGCCCCAGACTCTTAGAATAGCTTTGAATCCTGACTTAGTTTCTAGGTCTGTGACCTTTGGTAGGGCGCTTGGTCTCCATTTTCCCATCTATAAAACCTATACCTCAGATCTCTTGCAAGGATTAAACAGATAGTATCTATATTTTGCTGTGTGCTGTCAAGTCAGTTCCAGTTTTGTATAGGACTTCCCAGGCTATAAATCTTTACAAGAGCAAAAAACCCTCATCTTTTTCCTGAGGAGCAGCTGGTGGGTTTGAACTGCCGACCTTGCAGTTAGCAGCCCAGCTCATAACCCACGATGCTACCAGGACTTCTAATAGAAATACCTGGAACATAATTGGCATCATAGCTATTATTATTTAGTTTTAAAGATGAAGAAATCTGGCTTAGAGTAGGTAGTTGTTAGTTGCCATCAAGTTGGCCTGCCAACTCATAGTGAGCTCATGCACAACGAAACAGAATGCTGCCTGGTCTTGCACCATCCCTGGGGTCAGTGTGAATCTGACTGCTGTCATTCATAAGATTTTCATTGACTGATTTTCACAAGTAGATTGCCATGTCTTTCATGTGAGTTCATCTTAGTCTGGAAGGTCCACTGAAACCTGTTCAGCAACTTAGCAACTCAGATGCCTCCACTGACAAGATGAGTAATAGCTGTGCATGAATTGCATTGGTTGGGAATCAAATCCATATCTCTAGGGTTAAAATTCTACCATTGAATCACCATTGCCCTCCAGAGTAGTCTTTGGTGTTGTTGTGTAGGATTCCCAAGGAATGACTGGTGAATTTGAACCAACCTTGCAGTTCAAACCAACCTTGCAAGTCAGTGCATTATCCCACAGCACCACTCCAGGACTAAAGACCTAAATATCAGACCTTTTGACTCTTGTCTCTTATAGTCAAATAGCATCAATATGAGTATTAGTGTTTCACTATAGGATAAGCAGCTAACCACAACGTTGACAGTTCACACCCACCAGCCACTCTTTGGAAACCCTGTAGTGGGTCACTGTGTGTTGGAACAACTCAATGGTATGTAACAATAACAACAAATGAGGATAACATAGTATAGCAACAATGGCATGGGGTAGTAATTGGGAGAAGTATTTAATCAGCTGACCTTGTTTAGAAAGGACAATGCATGGTGATAATAAAAAACTAAGTCTGTTTTATACAGACCTCCCAGTGCTCAGGCCCTGTTAACACTGATGGATGTTGTTGTTGTTGTTAAGTGCCTTTGAGTCGATTCCCACCCATAGTGAGTGACCCCGTATAGGGTTTCCAAGGAGCAGCTGGTGAATTTGAACCACTAACCTTGCAGTTCAAGTGACTTTGCAGTCTGATGCAGTAATCCATAGCGCCACACCAGGACTCCAACATTGATGGATAGGAATATCAATTTTGTGGTCAGCTATACCAGCTCTGGTAGCGTAGTGGTTACGAATTGGGCTGTGAACTGCAAGGTCAGCAGTTTGAAACTATCAGCTGTTCTGCGGGCGAAAGATGAGGCTTTCTGCTTCTGTAAAGATTTATGGCCTCGGAAACCCTATACAGGGTTGCTATGAGTTGGAACCAATTCCACGGCACATAACAACAATACCAAACTCAGTTTTTACTCCATTGTGTCACATGTGATCTGGGACAACTTACTGAGGTTCTTTGAAGGCTCTCTTTTGTAAAGTGCAGGTAAATGGTACTTCATAGAGGATTAAGTGAGAATAATGTATAACTTGAAGAAAAGCTGGAGGGTAGATTGTGCAAGGTAGGCATTTTGACAGTCTACCGAAAGAAAAGAAAAGAAAAATTAAGCAAAGTAAATGTTACACCTAAGCAGCTACATTAGAGTAATCAGACACATTAACTCTGGGGAAACATATTTTTACCCACCTTTTACTTTCTTTTGTAACTTGTGATTTCCTCCATCTTTGGATCCTCTTCCTCCATTACTGGTTCCCAAGGATCTTTTCTCTGCCCCTTTCATATTATATCCACTTTTAAATGATAATACTATAACTACCTAGCAAATTCTGGCCATGCAAAACCCTTAAATACAATTAAAAAAAATTTTTTTTAAGTTAGATGTTATTTTCTAGCAAAATTTAAACCTCAGTGTCATAAAAGACTTGAAAACTTAATGTCCTTGATTGCTTTTTGCATACTTAGTAATATTATATAAATTGGAAAGAATTCAGAAAATCATGGAAGTGTAAGCTCTAGGAAGAACAGATTGTTGAATTTTTAAGAGGAAGCTTAGAGTCAACTGTTTCCATCAGTTCTATATCTGAGTGAGGACAAAAGAAGAGGAACTGAGTTTAAATTTATAAAGAAACTACAGTTCGAAATAAATAATCAAGTTCTTGGTTTTGTGAATAATTAAATACTGGAATAAATCACCCCTGAAGATTGTAATGGATTGATGAATCCACAGTTTTAGGTCATTGGCACATTGAGTCTAGAAGCAGCGATCCAGATAGCATGCTTTCTAGTACTGTTGCCCACTTGATTCTTTGGTACATTACACACCATCACTTTTAGATCATAAGAGAAAATGAAAATGAAAGGATTAATACAAAAGATCTGTCAGCTGATAAAACCTGATAGATACAAAGGCAAAGTGGTTTTTGGTGCTTGTTTTTGTTTTTTGTTTTTTTTTTAAGAGGATTATAAAATTTATGATGTTGTTGTTGTTGTTAAGTGCTGTCGAGTTGAGTCCAACCCACAGGGACCCTGTATAGGGCTTTTCCAAGGAGCAGCTGGTGAGTGTGAACCACCAACCTTGCAGTTTTAAAGACTTTGCAGTCTGATGCATTAGCCGATAGTTCTTGCTAAAAGGGATCATTCAGAATTTTTAAAAGCTTAAATAATCTTTTACTTTTTGTTCTTTCCTTGCTCTTAAAAGGATTGTTTGGTTTTCAGTACATATATTTTTTTACTGCCTGTACAGATTTTTCTAGAACTAAGTCACAACAGCTACAACACAATAGATTTCTTAGAATAGGATATCTCACTGTCTTTTGCAAAAGTACTAATTTATATTCATTTTATTTTTTTGGTGTTTATTTTAGGCACCCAGTGACAATGGTTCTAAAATTCAAAGCTTTACTCTAGAATGGGATGAGGTAAGTTAATTGAATCTTTTTATATTTTTAATTCCTCAAAAATGGTTCAAATTATATATATTTCCTCAGAAATAACTTCTTTGTTTGTTTTAATGTTTTTTATTTCCTCTTTAAAAATTATTTGGAAAACTGGTCTGCTCTGTAAACCTTCCCTAAATTCACAATAAAATTAGAAGTAATTTTAAAAAGCAGTATGATTCCCATGTGGTACATGAGTGAATTGGTGGTGTTCTTCAAAAATATTACTGACTGGACCTCAGTTTGGTTTGCTTTTCCAATTAAACCACCACCAAAGGTGTCATTGAAGTAAAACTACCTTGAACATTTTGTCCCACATCAGTCTTAAAGGCAAGTATATTTATTTCCAGCTTTGCTGTAACAAATTGCCACAAATCTGGTGACATAAAACAACAAACATTTCAGTGGACCAAAATCAAGATGTCAGAATGGCTATGCTGCCTTCAGAGGCTCTGGGTGGATTCTGTTTTCTTGACTTTTCCAGTTTCTGGAACTGGTCCTTGTTCCTTTGCTTACTGCCCCAGCACCATGTTTCCTTTTCTAACCCGACATCAATTATCACATTGCCTTCCTCTTTTGTCTTCAATTCGCCCTTTCGCTTATAAAGACATTTGATTACATTTAGGACCCACACAAATAATCCAGCTTATCTCATGCACAGTCTCTGTTACCATATAAATTAACATTCACAGGTTATAGGGATTAATAACAGACCTCTAAACATATCTTTAGAGGTCTGTTATTCAGCCGCCTGAAACAAGCATGCTGGCCTTTATTTTTGTGCACTGACTGACTGTTGTGTTCTCTCCAGTCCTGCTTTCTACACAATACCTAAGAGGATAGGCTGGTGGTGGTGGTTATGTGCTGTGGAGTCGATTCTGACTCATAGCGACCCTCTACAGAGTTTCCGAGGCTATAAATCTTTACAGGAGCAGAAAGCTTCATCTTTCTCCAGCTGAACAGCTGGTAGTTTTGAACTGCTGACCTTGTGGTTTGCAGCCCAATTCATAATCACTACGCTACCAGAGCTCATTAAGAGGATAATCTAGAGGTAGTGATAAAAATGTCATTGATAATATGAAAATTTAGCAGTATGTTAAAAGAATGATAAAGCAATGATGATGTAAACCAATTAGGCTTTATTTCAGAAATTCTATGCAAGTTCAGAATTGGGAATTATATTAATATATCACATTTTGTATTAATTTTTAAAAATCCATGTCATCTTGATAAGTTTTAAGTAGGTCTTTGGTAAAATTAACAGTCATCACTAAACAATAAAGGTGTTTCTAAAGCAGAAACAAGTCAAATTTGCCAGTATCCCCACCTTTATTTAACATTATTCAGAAAGTTGTAGTTAGTATAGTATGATTTGAGGCCAAAACAAGAGATACAACCAAGGGATCTGGGCTGGAGAGTAAATATCATTGTTGTTGTTATGGAGTTGGTTCCAACTCATAGCGACCCGTACAGGGTTTCTGAGGCTGTAAATCTTTACAGGAGCAGAAAGTCTCATCTTTTCGGAGCAGCTGGTAGTTTCGAACTGCTGACCCTGAGGATAGCAGCCTAATTTGTAACCACTATGCTACCAGAGCTCCTTTAGAGATTATAATATTTTCTACTTAAACAGTGAAATTAAATCAACTTTATAAACACCATTAAAACTAACAAGAGCAGTCAGGAAGGTATCCAAATACAAACTTGTTTTTCTTTCAGGCAAAAGTTGTCTTTGGCCTGTTTGTTTCCCTGACTTTGGTTTTCTTTACTCTTTACTTCAGTCACAGAGGGACCAATAGTTGCATCTTAGTTGGCTACTCTAGCTTTTAAGATCCTAGCTACTCACCACTGTATGGTATAGAATATTTTCTCTTGGACTATGTTTTACCAGTTAATCTAAATGTCTCCCCAGTCTGTGGTCCTGAACCCCCAATTCAGAGACTAATTCCCTCAAGGTGTTTGGTTATGTATTGCTAGGTAGTTTTCATAACTTTTCCCCTTTTTTGCTGTACTGTATACACAAGGTTGCCAGTTCAAACGCACCAGACGCTCCTCAAAAACCCCTGTTGTTGTTGTTACATGCTGTCAAGTCGCTTCCAACTCATAGCAACCTTGTGCAGGGCTTCAGGGAGCAGCTGGTGGGTTTGAACCACCAAACTTGCGATTAGTAGTCCAGTGCTTACCCTACTACAGTAAATACCACACCAGAACTCCAAGAAATCCTACACAGGATCACTATTAGTCAGAACTGACTCAGTGGCACTAATAGCAACAAGTTATCTAGTGCTCTTGTAACAGAAATTATACAAGTGACAACTTTAACAACCAGAAATTTATTTTCTCGCAGACTTTTTCTGCCAGGTTTGAAGGAAGGTCCTTATCTTTTCAAAATTTCTTCTCCTAGGCAGTCTTCATGTGGCCTGGCATCTCTCTTCTCCCATGTCTGTTTTGCTTACTTGTTTAAGTTCTATTTTAGCTCTATAAAGGTTGACTCAAGATACATCCTACACAAATTCTGCTTCATCAACGTAACAAAGACAGATCATTCTCAAATGTGACTGTGTAGCCATAGACAAAGATGTTAGGCTCTGCAGGGGATACACTATACTTATTCACAGATAACATTCACACACATAGTACACAAAGGAAATTAACTCATGAGCAGGTTACAAGGCTGGCAAAATGCCATTTATGTAAAAATAATGTAATTCGGTTTATAACTGCTAATTTATTACTTGTTGTTAAGTGCCATTAAATCTTTTCCAATTCATGGCAACCCCATATAGGGTTGCTGAAGAGCCACTGGTGGATTTTAACTGCCAATTTTGGGGTTCAAACCAACCTTGTGATTCAGTGCTTATCCTACAGCACCACTATTTATAAAATAAATTTAATGTAAATTTTATCTTTTTGCAGTAATGTACTTAATACATAATAATCAGCCATTTCTTTCAGGGAAAAGGAAATGGAGAATTTTGTCATTGTTACATGGGTTTACAGAAACAATTTAAGATCACTAAACTGTCCCCAGCAATGGGTTGTAAATTTAGACTATCAGCCAAAAATGACTATGGTACAAGGTAAGATATATATTTAAATCTATTATATGTGTTTTAGATTAGCCAGTCAACTTTGTGTTTATGTTTTTAGTCAAAATTATCCAAGCTGTTCACCAGTCTGCTTCCTTTTATCACTTTGTTGATAGCATTAAGATTTGTTACTGTAAACTAACCTTGCAAAAACTAGTAGCTTTACCAAGATTTTTAGCTAACATTATACGTTGAATCTTTATGTTTAACCAGTAGGTTTTTCTGTTGATTTTTAGCATATGTGATTTCATTATTTTATTTAGTGTCTGGTAAAGTCTAAGAATATCAGCGATAACTGGTTTAAATAGAAATGCCAAACCACAGTAAACTGATTTTATTTATTTATATATTATCTAATACATATATATATAAAATATGGGTAAGACAAAACATATTGTTGCAAAATCTTGGAAAGCTTTATTAAATAAGCAAATATATGAAAATGTGAAGCTATTGTTACTTGACATGTCTTCCATCCAGGTTTATACCCTTCTAAAAATTGGTGTTTCCATCTCTAACCCTTCCCCAAAGAATGCTGCATTCTTCCATTTACACCACATCAAAACAGCAGTTTTGCCATTCAAATTATGTTCTTTTTAAATGATCTTTGAGTTTGGGGAACAAAAATAAGTCTGAAGGGGTAAGATCAGGGCTTATAGGGTACATGGAGTAAGCTTCCCAACAAAATTTTCATAGGACAGCCCTTGCTACCCTCAAAGAATGAACAGGTATGTTGTGATGGGAAAATAATGCATTGGCACACTTCCCTTGTGTTGTTGTTTTTTCCACACCAATGCAGTTTTCAGTTTTCTGAAAATGTCTTCATGATAAACCCCACATGATCATTCTGTGTACTTTTTGACAAAAATCTATCAAAATCACCCGTCTGGAATCCCCCCCAAAAAAAGTCTACCATAGTCTTCTGAACTAATGTCTCTGTCTGGAATTTTATTAGCCCAGCAAATCCCCTCAAAAGCCACTGGTTTGATTGGACTTTGCTTTCTGAATCATATTGGTAAATACAAAACTCGTCCCCAGTTATGATTCACTCCATAAAATTCTTGCCATTAGCTTCAATCTTGTTTTCAAGATTGATGGAGAGATCACCTCTGAGCTAGCTGATCTTCACACAATGCTTTGGTACCCAGCAAGTCAAAAGCTTGTTGAGGTCAGAATGTTCACTTCCAGTTGAAAATGCCAAATTATATGACATCCCAACTTCAGTAGTGATCATATCAATGGTTATTCTATAGTCTTCTTCCACTTATTTCTGAACTTCAGCCACAATTCTTCATTCATCAGGGTTGGTGATCTTCCGTCTCTTGGTTCATTTTTTAGGTCTTCCCAACCTTCCTTAAACTGTGTGTGATCCATCTAAACAATTGTTTTATGTGGCTCAGTATTCTTATAAAATTATTGCAAAGCTTCAGTAATTTGGGAAGATGTCTACTGCAGTTTTGCTTAAAATGTGAAATTAACCCAGACCATAGAATCATCATCTTTTTTTTCCATAATACAAAATTGTATCCTTTTTTCAGGGTTGCTATGAGTCGGAACCGACTCAACAGCTCTCAACAATAACAAATGAGATTAAGGAGTCCCTGAGTGGTGCTGTCAAGTTTTCCCACCAGCCACTCCTGGAAACCCAATTCAGGGTTGTTATGAGTCAGAACTGACTTGGTGGGACTAATAACAATGACACTAAGACAGGTGTTATTACTGAGAGAACTTGTATGCAGCCATCCACCGATCACAGACAAAATGTTTAATTAAGCATGTTTTGTTTGAAATAAACTCATGCATATATGAACTAGACCCCTTGTAGCAATACTTTTTGACTTACCCTGTATCTCTGCTTACCTTTATGGGGGCAAGTAGGCTTAATTGCATAACTGAAAATGTGCATTTCCTATCATATATATGACATAAAAGTGTATTTTAAAAGTGAAAATTTCATTAATTTAGCTTTAATGATGGTAGATTGATTTGGAAAAGTTTAGTGAGAATGATTATGCAACTTTAAGCATATAATTGTCTTGTAGAAATATTTGAATTTGTGTATGTTTAATTGTATACATTTTCACTACATTAGAAAGAAAAGGAGGGAAAATTTAGACCAATAGAAGAATGTTATCATTACAGTCATACCTTTTTGATAAGCTGCTATACAAATATGTTTTCGTTAACTGGATAATAAGGTAAAATTTGTAAAATATAAACATAGTATCTTTTCTAAAACCATCCTAGTGTACACTTTTAGGTATCTGATCTAGTTCCCATACAGGTATTGTCAACTTCAAGACAGATTATTTGAATTAGTTATTTTTAAATATCTATATATGTCTTTTTCATTCCTTATTTAAAACTGTTTGTTTCAACAGTGGTTTTGGTGAAGAAGTTGTATATTACACCTCAGGCTGTGCCCCTTCTATGCCAGCCAGTCCTGTATTAACTAAGGCTGGTGTTACGTGGTTATCCTTGCAATGGAGTAAACCCTCAGGAACACCATCAGATGAAGGAATATCTTACATTTTAGAGATGGAGGACGAAACTTCAGTGAGTGTGGATGTGTTTTTTACATTTAAAATATATTTCATTGTGGGGGGTAATCCTAATATAGTCAGTATTGCCACATAGTTAACTTCTTCCCAAAACCTTAGAAATCTCAGTTTGTTATTGTTTAGGAGGAACGAGGGACTAGTTTTGTTTTCTTGATGTATAGGGAGTAGTTTGGGAAGTGTGTGTTTGTGCCTGGGAACAACACAGACTTTATTTTAAATATGTGTGTTCGGGAAAAAAGGGAGAAGTGGGAGGATCAAGCACCACAACCTCCTATACTGAGCAGCTCTAAAGGTAAGAAAACACTATAACTGTATTCTTCAATTGTGTTCATACAGTGCTTCCCAAAGTGTCACAGAATATTTCAAGAGCTTCATGTGCAAACTGAATCTTGTTCTATACAAGTGGCTCATCTGTGAGCTAGAACTTGGCCAAACAAGAATTAGAGTATCTATTAATTATTCTATATAATTCCATAACTTCAATTTCTTTGAAACAAAATAGCATTGGTCCACTTCTAAGAATATATATGAGGCAGTCATCAAATATAGTTCATGGAAAAAATGGAATTAAAAGATAAACATTTTAAATATAAACTTGTAAGCATTGCTACATGACTTTTAGTCCATCACTAAAGAACTAAGGATTCTAGGAATTTAACCAGTCTTTTTTACTTTTTTTTTTTAAGCTTTTATTGTGCCCTGGGTGATTATTTACATGGGAGAACATCCTATCATATTTCATTGCAATGCTTGCAATCCCCTCCATACATCACTATTCAACAGTATTTGCTTTTATTTATCTGTTGTTGTTTTTGGTTTTGTTTTATGTACACAGAAACACACTCAGGAATATATAATCATTTAAACAACCCAAGGGTATATTCTGCAAGCCTTCCTACTGCCCGCCAGCACACAGCCTTTCTCTTTCAATGAGTGCTCAGCTGCTCCCTCTCTCCATGCCCTCATCTGGTTCACTGCTTCTCTGAATAGGGTCCCACATTCTGTTCATGCTCTTCTCCCTTGATGGTCCTAGGGTCCTCTGTTCCTGAACTGTAACATTAACTTCTCCCTGCTCTGTGTTACAAAACATCTACCTTTACAGTTGTGACAATTGCAATTAGTCATGTTAACAATTACTCACTATTGAATCATGAGAATCTTGTCCCCATCTCATTTCACCAGACCCATCTAGTCAATATGAAAACTATTAAGGTAACGCTGATGTTCTCCCATGTAAACTATTACTCAATTCACAATGAAACCTTACAAAAAATAAATAAAATAAAATGTTGATGACTTAAGTGTGAACAACAACAACAAAAAAACTATTCGGTGGGGATTCTACTTTCCCCTACACTCTGAAACTAAGCTCCCTCTTAAAAACTTGTAAGCCAGCTTACAGGTTGGCTTGTAGCCTTTACTTTGCCTTTGTAGCGCCCTCCGCGCCCCCCTCCCCCCATTTTAGGTAGCCAATGTCTAAGTTGCCCATCCCTATCAACCCTGTGTACAGAGGGGTATGTTTAATCCCTGATGTGAAGATTCTTTCCCTCTCGGTATTTTGAGCTACTGCATCCATAAGTATAAGTCAGGTCAAGTTCATCAAATTGTAGCAATTTACACTTGTTTCCTTTATCAAATTTCTTTATCTTCCTCTATTCAAGCCATCGAAGCTAAGTCAAATGGGTACTGTCTGCAAGTTTGGGATTTCTTGTGTGTCTCCCCTCACTTCATATTAGCTGGATATTTATTTCACTCTCGTCTCTAGCCCTCTATGGCTAGATCCTTGTCCGTGGGCATAGGAGTCCTCAGGTCTCACACACTTAAGACCAACCATCCCTTCCACTTCTTTCTCTCATCTTCAGGTCTGCGGGAGTCTATGGAACATGGTTGCTCAGCCCATATCTTCTTTGCTGCCTTTCCCCCACTTCACTCACCAGTAGACCAGTGTGGTCACCAGCAAGCTTACATGCCTGCTCATGTGTTCCCTTTGAGTTTCAGTCTTGGAGGAGGGTTTGCCCTGAAGGGATTCATTGCTTGCCTTGATGGCTCCCCCACAAACAACCTGTTTGTTCATACAGTAGTCAATCAGACTGCCATTTTTGTTTTTGATTTTTCCTGCTGGTCTTTCTTTCAAGAAGTATCTTCTGTTCCTGTAGCTGCTGAGGCCTTTTTTATGTTACTTATAAAAGAAAGTCCTGGTGTGGCGCTGTGGGCTAATGCATCAGACTTCAGAGTCATTTGAACTTCTAGGTCAGTGGTTGAAGCTCACCAGCTGCTCCTTGGAAACCCTATACAGGGTTGCTATGGGTCGGAATCGACTCAACTGCACTTAACAACAATGAAAGAAAAATGGATACCCCTTAAAGATTCCTTAAGACCAAGAAGAAAAAAAAAAGTCATAAGGAACCAAATCAAAACTGGAGGGTAGATGCCTAATGATTTCCCATCAAAACGCTCAAAAAATTTCCTTTGCTTGATGAGAAGAATGAGCATGGTCATGGTGGAGAAAGATTCTACAGTGAAGTTTTCCTGGTATCTTTCTACTAAAGTTTTGGCTGTCTCAAAATATTCTCATAAGAAGCAGATGTTGTCATTCTTTGGAACTCAGAAAGTCAATAAGCAAAATGATTTTAGTGTCCCAAAAAATTGTTGCCTTGGCCTTTGCTCTTGATTAGTCCACATTTCTTTTACTGAACCACTTCTACCTCATGGTAGCATTGCTTTGATTGTGCTTTGTCTGCAGACCGGTATTGGTAAATGTGACATCTCCTATGAAGAAATGCCTCAGGGTCTTGGTCCTACTTGTTTTAAATTTACATTGAAAATTCTGTTCTTGTCTACAGCTGATCGGGGTGCAACTGTTTTGGCACCCACTGAGCAAATAGTTTGCTCAACAAAATTGTGTAAACTGTCTGTGGTGTTGGCTATTGTTGCTACTGTTAATCATCAGTCTGTTTCAGTTAGGGCATAGACAATATTATTTTCTTTCTCACAAATTAATATGTATAATCTGCTACCTATGGGTTTCATCTTCAACATCATCTCATCCGTTATTAAAACAAGTTATCCATTTGTAAACTGCTGATTTCTTTGGGGCATTGTCATTATAAACTTTTTTTAAAGCATCAGTGATTCCACTATTCTTACATCCAAACTTCACCATAAATTTGATGTTGTGTCTTGCTTCAATTTTAGCAGAATTCATGTTGCTTTGATAGGTGCTCTTTTCAAACTAATCCTTCTTAGTGCCTCAACTAGATAACGTTCAAACATGTTATAACAAGTTGTTGTTGTTATTGTTGTTGAGTGCTGTCAAGTTGGTTTTGACTCATAGCGACCCTATATAGGCTTTCCAAGGAAACCTGATAAGCTTGAACCACCAACCTTGTGGTTCACACCAACTTTGCAATTCAGCACATTAACCCTGAGTTTATTTTGGTACAAAAATTTTTTTGAAATCTACAGTGCAGTGAATTACTTCATATAGCTCTGCTACCCATAGATTTTGTAACTCCCACCAACCATCCTTTTTTTTCTTGATGCATCTGGGTAAAAAAAGGTAAGTAGAGATGCTGGTAGGATAATATGATTCAATTATCAATGATTGTTAGCAGAGCTAACTGTGATTGTAAAAACTTAGAAATCTAATGAAGGGGCATTATCAATTTGCCATCTTGCTCGGTGGAAACTGAGTCATCTCAAAAGCAAGAAGGAAGATCACTACTATCAGAGATAAAGAGGAGTGGAACATATACTGTGGGTCCCATGATCCCTTCGTGTTGAACCTCCTCAATTCAGGAACAAAAAGGGGTGATTTTCAGAGGAGTAGCAGAGGAATGACAGCAGTAAAAGCAAGAGCCAGACCATGAGACAAAGCAGTGGACTTCTCAACCTGTGAGCAAGTAGAGCTAAGTGCCTTCAGGCAAGAGGCTTGCTTTTAGAGTAGAATGCTTCCAGGCACTTAATTGGAGAACTAGGTTTGTTGACCAGTGGACCTGGAGCTGAGTGCCTTAAGGCTGAGCTTTGTAGTGATGGATTATCCCCTAGGCATTTATCAGAACTAAAGGAACTTTGTCCTGGTGTGGCCCTGTGGGTAATGAATGCATCAGACTACAAAGTCTGCAAGGTCAGTGGTTCAAGCTCACCAGCTGCCTCTTGGAAACCCTAGACAGGGTCCCGATGGGTCATAATCAACTAGACGACACTTAACAACAATAAAAGAAATTTTGTAACATTTGCCAGAGCAGGCCAGAGGCCAGGCCAGTCCAAGGGATGTTGGACTAAGAGAAAGGCTTGCCTGCAGGCGTGACTGAGAAGAGGCTGTCCTGATTAGAACTGTGCCCCAAGCATTTCTGACCCCAAATCATAACCTGTTAACTTGCCTAATAAACCCCATAATTGTGAATATGGTATCCAAGTTCTGTGTGACCTTTGCAATGAATTTTTGAACCCAGCAGAGAATTAAGAAAATGCCTTAGGAGGACTGGTTGGTGGCATTCTTTGCTAAATCAATTCATAGTTTATTCATAACACACATTTTCCATGAACTTTATAAAAACCTTTCATGTAAACCAGAAAACCAAACCCACACCAGTGATTTGATTATGACCCTATAAGACAGATTGGAACTGCTCCCAAGGGTTTCTGAGACTACAAGTCTTTACAGAAGCAGTCTGTTTCATCTTTCTCTCCCACAAAGCAGCTGGTGGGTTTAAATCACCAGCCTTGAAGTTAGCAGCCCTGCGATTAACCCATTGCACCACCAGGGTTTCCTTGGAAACCTTATATAGGGTTGCTATGAGTCAGAACTGACTCAGTGGCACTTAACAACAACAATATACACACACACATACCCCCAGGAGGACTGAAAATATTATTTGTTCATACAAAATGTGTACATGAATTGCCAGAGCAGCATTATTCATAATAGCCAGAGGTGGGAACAACCCAAACGTTTATCACTTGAATAAATCAACAAAATGTGATATAGCCATA